ATTGTTGATATTTCAATTACAAGTTTTTTTTTTTTTAATTTTATCAGCCATCAGTGACAACAGATGAAATTGACAAAGCAGTCCACAAAATGATCATTGAGGCTGGTGCCTACCCTTCACCTCTTGGCTATGGAGGATTTCCCAAGAGTGTATGTACTTCAGTGAATGAGTGCATGTGCCATGGGATACCTGATTCTCGCCAGCTACAGGTTTGGTGTGTGGATATTTCTGTTTGTGTTATGCTTAGATCTATTATCAATTATGATTCTCTTTTCTGCAGGATGGGGACATAATAAACATTGATGTGACTGTCTACTTAAATGTATGTTCTTCATTTAGACCCTTTTCAGTAATGCTCATTACATTGACTGATAATCTGCTAATTGTTTAGTGTCTTAATTTCTCTATAGATGTCACTCCCATGTATGTTTTTTGCGTAATTCTGGAATCCTTTAGATGTTAAAAATGTAATAAGTTGAAATCAAATGTTAATCTGATTGGCAATTTTAGAAATGAAAATAAGCAATAAACAAAGAGAACAAAACTAATAGCAGAGGGGAGTATGTGGTGCCAAATTTGTAGAATTGAGAATGGTCATAATTGAGAAGTTATTGCATGTTAACCTTATTAAGAAGTTTGCAACCAGGGGAGATCCTATTCTCTCTATTGCATGCCAGGCATACAGTTAGAGACAAACAGATGGGATTATGTTTAACAGGTTCCATGTGCGTGGGCTCTTGGGCAAGGGGGAGGAAGGTGAGGGGATGAGTGGTAGAAAAAGGAGTGAAATGAAGGAATTTTGGACTCAACAAAGATAAGATTTGTGGCACTGTCACTGCCGTTGAATATTGTCAGCATTACTGTGCTGCTGAGAGGGGAGCGAGTTGAGTGATAAAAGTTTTGCTAATGCATTGTATATGCATTGTTTTCTTCTTTACTTTAAAAGTATAATTTCTTTCTACCTTTCAATATCAGATTATATTGTAAAATGAAAATTTTGTTTACTTTGAATGGGTGCAACGAAGATATTTATCAATATCTTGTCTTTCTAATGAGCCCCCTTAATTGAAGACTGCAAAGCTAATCTGTCTTTGTGTGGTATGGTTCTGTTGTCTTAGGGTTATCATGGTGACACATCAAAGACATTTCTTTGTGGAAATGTCAGTGATGAACTTAAGTGCCTTGTGAAGGTAATTTTGTTATACCTTTATTATTCTGGTAACATTGTGATTTCCATCTGTAGTTAGGAGCAGAAGTCAGAAGCCTTTGCTACTCCTGGACTTCCAAAATTATATACCCATCCTTATAAAGACATGATTTCTTATGAAGCGTTCCTTGCAAAATGCTAACGATGTTATTGATATACTGATTCATTATTACCTTTCATGGAAGGTAACTGAAGAGTGCTTAGAGAAAGGCATAGCTCTTTGCAAAGATGGTGCTAGTTTCAAGAAAATTGGAAAGAGAATCAGGTTTGTCTCTTGAACGCCATGTTCTGGAACAGCATTTTTTTGTCACTTAAAGGCATGTCAAATGGTAAGATTTTTGTCATTTGATCTATGCATCAAACTAGTGCTTGGTCAAATGGAAGTTTGCCCTACTAAAAAACTTGAACAAGTGCAAATTTATTTGAGTTGAAAATCATGCCTGCTTGGATATAGTCACCACTGAACAGCTTTTATTAACTTCATATGCAGAACAGTTTGAATGGCTTCCTCTACCTTTGACAACTTATTATTATTATGCAGTGAGCACGCTGAAAAATATGGCTATGGTGTGGTGGAGCGTTTTGTTGGACACGGTGTAGGGACTGTTTTTCATTCTGAACCAATTATCATGCATCATCGTAATTATTCTTCTCAAATGAAAATTTTGGCAGTATCTGTCTTAAATCTATCTTTTTTATTCTTTTCTGGTATTTGTTAAGTAATTAGGTTATTGCCACCTATTCTGAATGTCATTGATTATTTGACAGGCAATGAAAAACCTGGGGTCATGGTTGAAGGGGAAACATTTACCATTGGTGAGTGCATCTCTATCTTTTTGCCAAGGAATTTGGGAACTGTTTTCGTTTGATATGAGCTGCTCTAGTTTAAACACCCATAGGAAATCCTTAAATTCATTGCATAAATGTCTGATTCCTAGGTTTACCTGGGGTAACTCATAAGGTGTAGAAATTTTTTTGGCCAACGGAGGTGTAGATTGAGGCTGAAAGTTACAGAATAAGAGTAGACACTTAAGGAGGCTACTTGTTATCACTTATCATGAATAGGGTGCTATTTTCTTTATCTTTAGGAAGGGTCTGAGTATACATATTAATAGATATATTCAACCTTTTTACTACAGAACCGATTCTTTCAATGGGAAGCATTGAGTGTGTTACTTGGCCTGACAACTGGACAACTTTGACCAATGATGGGAGTCCTGCTGCACAGTTTGAGCATACTATCCTAATTACTAGAACTGGTGCGGAAATTTTAACAAAGTTTTGATTTTTTTTTAAAATTAATTATTTTTCTTCTGCCATTAGCTATTCCAATACATGAATTTGTAGTGCTGGATACAAATAAGCATCCATTCATATGCCTCCTTCCCTATAAAACGTAGAATAATGGCATGCTACTGGAAACCAGTTCAGAAAAGCTTTTGATTCATTTAACAAAATTAATTGCAATTGCCTAAAAACAATATATGTTGTAATGTACCTAGGACTAGTTTATCACCTACCATTTTGGTAAGCAAATGGTACATATTGTATTTGACCAATAGCATTCCAATTGTCATTATTTCTTTCTCATATTTAGTTAGGTGTGTGAATTCAGCTATTGACTCTTATTTCTAATTCTCACCGGTTCTTTTGAAATCATAGTTGAGTTCTTTAATAAACTAGTTACTTATGAGCTGGTCGGTGCGGATCCAACCTGTCTTCAATTTGGAAGAAAAGCACCTTTCTAGGAAACTCACCATCCTTCACAAGTAGTCGGAAGAACGGGATATGACGGTGAAGGTGTTTGGTAAAATTTAAAAAGTATTTGTTTTAAAAAATATTATTTATCTTGTAAATTTAAAATTTTATTAGAAAAAAATTTAAAAGTTATCTTTTAAAATAAATTTTAAGTAGTTTTGAAACTGAAAAGTTAATTTTATTGTTTTTCTTCAATAAAATTTTAAATTTTACAAAATGAATAGTATTTTTTAAAGGAAATGTATTTTAAGCTCTACTAAACACAGTCAATGGTATAGTATTTTATGTAATTGATTTCTATTTCTTGAGTTTTTTTTCATCACGTGTTACTTTCCCAATTTCACAGCTGAGTTTCACGAGGGCTCAGTTGACCTAAGAACCCGACTCTTAACTTTGTCAATATTGTGCCTGCGGTTTGACCAACTCCTACCAAACTCCAAAGGTTAAATACCTTTTTTTGATCCCTCTACTATAGGAAAAACTTTTTTTTGTATTTTTACTGAAAAAATCTTTTTTTTGGTCTTTACTGTTCACAAATTCGGCCCTTTTTTAGTCATTTCGTTAAATTTTAGTTGATATGACAGGTTAATTAACGAAAACATTCAATCATTTTTTTTATTAAATTACGTGAAAAATCCACGTGACAAAAATTGATGACATGCTAAATCCACGTGGAAAATCTCACTTTTAATTACTGATATACCCTCATCTTCTTCCCCTTCCCCGGCTTCTCCTTCCTCCAGCCTTTTTTTTTCTTTTTTTTCTTTTATCTCCAGGCAAACCCACCAGCTTGGGTTCACAAAACCTAAAAGCAGCCATAACAAACAAACAAAATGAACCAACCAGTGTTAATATGAAGGAGAAAAAGGGTGCGAACCCAACTTGTGGGTTCGCACCTCACGAACCCACGAGCTGGGTTCGCACCTCGCGAACCCACGAGCTGGGTTCGCAAGGAACCCAAGCTCGTGGGTGCGAACCCAGCTTGTAGGTTCGCACCTCACCAACCCAAGTGGGTTCGCACCTCGCGAACCCACGAGCTGGGTTCGCGAGGAACCCAAGCTCGTGGGTGCAAACCCAGCTCGTGGGTTCGCACCTCACCAACCCAGGTGGGTTCGCACCTCGCGAACCCAGCTC